AAAGATACAATTTTGTGGTAAGTATAATTATACATATATATTGTATTACGTTTTGTAATCACATTTCTGTTTAATATTTACAACTTAACATATATTAAAATTAAAATTCTGACCTTAAAAAATAATTGGTAATAATAAGCATAAAACTATTAACAATTAAAATAATAATATATATGCATAAATAAACGAAAGTTAAAATGCCAAGCTACTGTATTTTAAAATGCAAAAGTTATTACTAAAAAGGATTTTTCATATAATTAATTACTTTCAATCCCACAAAAAAACATATCAAAAATTAATTACAGAAAAGAGATCCTTAAAAAAGGTTTATATGTAAACAGGGCTGGGCATTAATTAATTACTTTCAATCCCACAAAAAAACATATCAAAAATTAATTACAGAAAAGAGATCCTTATAAAAGGTTTATATGTAAACAGGGCTGAGCATATATTTGAAATACTTTTATTTGAAAAACAATATTGGTAAGATAATTATATTTTGTATTTTGTGTTTGTTCAATACATGAAAATATTTTGTATTTTGTATTTCATGGGAGCATATAAAAGTATTTTGTATTTTATATTTCAGTATTAATAACAAAAATTATGAAAGTATTTTGTATTTTAAATACTAACATTGATAATCAACCTTATTATTTGAATTACAAGATACAAAAAGCTTTTAATCTTTCGATTTTAAATATAAAATACGTAATACTTTTATGTGATCTGCTAAAATAAAAAATACAAAATACGCTTGTATTGCAAATAGTGTGTTTTAAATAAAAGTATTTCAAATACATGTCCAGCCCTGTATGTAAAGTAGGGGATATCCCCTACTTTACATCTAGATGTAAATATTATTTTTAACAAATAAAAATTTCATTTACTAAAACATATAATACACGTAACAATAAGACAATGGCTGCGTTCAGCAGAACACAACAGTTTTGCAACCGTTTTCTGATTCTTTGCTGAGATAGGACTATTCCCCTTGATTTAAAAGCATAACCCAATCAGTACAAAGAAAATTTCCAATAGTTGCAAAATAAACATTCTGCTGAACGCAGCCATTGACTTATGCATTCTATTAAATAATTTTTAATTTATATTAATATATTATTGAAAGATTAGTAAAATTATATTCATTACTTATTTATAATTATTTTTATAAGAGGACTAAAAATCTACATTAAAAATTATTTTGTTATTTATAATATATAATGTGTATATATATTTCTACTATTTGAATTTGCCTGACTTTTGTAGTAATTTTAATTGGTTCCGCCATTTTATAAAAAGCGTGACGCGACATGAATACCTGCCACAGCTCTGCCTGCCATAATTTCTAGGGACTCCAGATAGCGTGCCGCGAGTGTCACCATCTCGTGTCCCATGATGAAATTAAATACCTCGTGTTAGCGTGCCCGCGAACGGCACTTGCCAAATTTTCGAGGTTAGCATTCGTGGATTCGCGCACGAGCCTAATCTGTACGAGCACCGAGAGCGTTCGCACGATATTTCGATCTAAGAACGCCGATGTAAAAGCTTGCAACGCTTTCACGGTCATGGCGGTGCGCGTGCAATTCGAGAACAACAATGAGATCGGCGTATTCTCAAAGTTGACGAACTCCTACTGTTTGGTTGCGATCGGCGGTTCCGAAAACTTCTATAGGTAAGTATGACGTCACCCATAATGCAATCGCACGAAATCTGCATTGGCAACTAATCTTTTAATTAATTAACTTTGTTTGTTAATAAAAGCGACAATATTTAGGATGATATTATCAGGATATGCCTATTTTTACATTATAACCTCAAAAACGTGTCAAAATAGTATATAATTATATATTATCAAGCAAGATAAAATGGAATAATAAGCGTTAAACTTTAATATATACACTATAATATACTTTAGAATGTACACTATATATGTAAAAAGATATATGTAATACAAAATGTAAATGTTACTATCATTCTGCAGTAATCTATTATTTGATTTTGATATGATTGGACTGCAATTGTTATAATTCTATGGTTCATTGTTGATGTAATTGCAGCGTATTTGAGGCAGAATTAGCT